AAACGATGCTGAGGAATTATTTACTTACTTATTCTAATGCTAAAATAAATCACACAGTTCCATTTCTATGTCGTGTTCAGTTTTTATTGTAGTAAGCCATTAATCTGCATAACCTTACATTAGAGTATTCGCCTCGGGTCGGCGTGAATGAAGCTAGAATCTTGGGTTGATACAAGATGTAGCTAACTGTGAGTAGGCCTTTCGCGACAATCAATATATATGAAAATGAGCGCTATAATTTTGATGGCTTTGTCCTCGTCTGCTTTCTTCGGGAGGCGGAGCTTAGGCAGCGCGCGCGCACACACACACACACACACACACACACACACACACACACACACACACACACACACACACACACACACACACAGAGAGAGAGAGAGAGAGAGAGAGAGAGAATGCGTGAACCCTCTCTGTTAGTCGTTTTTGTGAAATCTACACCCAACCTCCCGGGCTGGCACAGCACGCCTTTCTCGAACCCGACCGCATCGCACCAAGGCCGATGCTTCGTTCGCCCCGTTGCACTTATTTCTCACATTCCGATCGTAAAGTGTAAATATTCTGAATAAAAGAACGCACTTGCATTATTATGCTATTATATTGTCATTGTGTAATCAGTGGAATGAAAGGCTGGTTACAATAATATCGTTGACTGCAATTCATTTTGGGGCAATAATCGCACAACGACCACTGTCTGTTAGCGGTGTAAGCACACAAAGACCTGCTAGCACACCACACAACTTTTACACAAGAGTCAAACAAATATGGTGCACTGAAAGCAGTGTCGATAGAACAAACGTATTGTTCATGTAGGAGCTCAACAGGACAGAGCTGGAGAAATAGAAATACGATTTGATGAACTCTTTCACAGCAAGGGCCTTGTTTTCTGAGCTTCTGTCATCATTACGTCTCACTGCAAACTGTCAAATGCATTCTAGCCCATAAAAGATTTCTTTTCTCAGTTTGCTGATGTGGACATGTAATTGGCTCCTAGAGCCCATCATCGCCTGTCAAAAGCTTAGAGCAGCTCCACCATGCCAGTGTTTAAAATATACTTTCTTTTAAAAAGGAGAAAAGGATGAAATACTGCTTGTGTTTCATGTATAAAACCCCTTTTCTCACTGGAATAAAACCCACTGTGATCAGTCTTTTGTAGGTACAATCACCAGTCACAAAGGACAAAGGACTCTGCAGTAGTCACGGGTCTTTATTGGCTCCAGCGACAATCAGCAATGATGGAAACATGACATCCTCATTTTCGCCCTGGTCTGTGGCAATGCTAGGTGAAAAGCATTTGATAATCTAGGATTACAACCTGAGGGTTGTATTCCTCCACTAATCAGTCACGTTTCAGTATGCATCCGTGGCGTGACGGACGCCCTGAAAGACACAAAGGGCGTCCTACCACATCGGTCTCCTATGTGGAGGTGGGGCTGGACGATACACTCTATAAACTCTCGTCGGTACTTTTGCATCCGCTTTCTCACTCTGATTCGTTTGTTTCAGATTCCCGGCCAATCAAACCAACGATTGCAGCGAGTTTCACCCAATCAGGGGCAGAGGAGGACGAGTCTTCACAGAAATCAGGTGGGATTATTTACATTGGATGCTGCATTGACGACAACTCGGAAAATACGGGACGACCGCCGTCCCCTATTGATTCAAAACGGATTGCGCTATTTTATTCTCAAATACGGGACAATGCCGTATTGTAAGGGACGGGTGGCAACACTAGCAGCCAAAACACGCTAACTCGGCGCCGTCACCTTTAACCCAGCCGTCCAACCACAACAGAGGGGAGGCGGGGCAATTACCAAAGATGAACCATGATATCCAAGATGTGGTGTTGAACCAAAACAACAATGGAGGAGAAATGAATAGACACCCAAGTCACTCCTCTCTCACAAAGTGTCAGTTCATCCAGAGAAAATGTCTTCCTCGTGCGGACATTTTAGCATGTGCGGATAATCCTTAACAAAATAACCAAACGCATTCAAAGAGTCTTGTCATTCCAAAAAAAAATTCAACAGTCATCTTTGTCATTCTGAAAGCAGCAGTTTACCCAATAATACAACAATAATTTGACCCTGCTGCTCTTTGCAAAACAAACTCCATTCGGAAGATACATACAAAAGATTGGTCTGGAGTCTTGCGACTCATAGTTCTTGGAAATAGTGTCAAGTCAGCGGGCTGAGGAATTTATAAAACAAGAAAACTGCAATCGGTGCCTATAAAGTTGAGAAGTTTACTAAATAAACTATTTAGGAATTTGTAGGCTCAAACCCGGCTCATACCAGTCTCAAATATGTAGCTTAATGAAAACCTGCCTGGTTCTCAGCTCTAAACGCCAAGATGTCTAATTCTATATCCTATTTGTCGTATTCACTATGAGCCTCTTCCTGCCTCTCTGCTTCTTCCAGTCTCTCAGGCTGAATCTTGTTTTTTGAATCAGGGCTGAGGAAGGACACATTTTTAGCTTCCTTTAGAAGACACAAGAGAAACGTCTGAAATATTTGCGGTGTATTTTGAGAATGGGGGGCAGTGGAAGAGGCGAGTATACAAGCTATCTTACCGGAAAATACTGTGGGCTCAATTATAAATACAACCAAAGACAACTTTTGTCTTTACCACCAACTGCAGAAATAAACAAAACAACAAGGCATGTTTTCTAAACACTTTCCTACAACCAGTATGCAAGACTTTGTCATTCATGTAATTTTTTCAAGCTCCTGAAGTGATGGAAAACCTGAAGTCATTGTAAATTAAAGACGTAGTCACGTGTTGAGGGTTACTGCAGTGCAAATCAATTGGTAGCAAACAGCCAGCAGCTATGAAGAGGGTTAGTGGAGGGATGTCTGTTCGAGCAGAGAACGATGGAATGTTGAAAAACGTTGTCAGGCATTACAAATGCTCCCAATTTCGGATATAGCACCTTTGATTCCGGCCCTAGGAACGGTTCAGAAAAACGTAGAGAGCAATATTGGCTGACAACAGATGGATCAATAACAGCAATTTTCACCCAAAGCCAGTTTCTACACATGCGACAAGAACCAAATCCAGGTCAAAAGTTTTGCTCATTTGAAAAACAAATGTGAAGCTGAAAGTTTTGTTGTTGAACATTGAAAATTACAACAACTTATTCAAAATAAAAATAAGCGGACAAAAATATTTTTGGGTTGAATATATTACATTACAGGTCATTTAGCTGACGCTTTTATCCAAAGCGACATTTTTAACCCATGGCTTTTATGTTTTAGCCCAGGGAGCAATTAGGGGTTAGGTGTCCGGCTCAGGGACACTTTGACATGGGACATGGAGCAGCCGGGATGTCTCTTTTTTTTTTTTTTGGTAACAGGTTTTATATATATATATATATATATATATATATATATATTCAGATTCAAAACTTATATTTTCACTTTCAGATCTTTTATTTCACATTCAGACTGACCCTGATGTGGCGTAGGGGGCGGGGCATCAACTGGGAAGGGCTCCATAGAAAACAGCCCCCTTACTAAGGGTTAAAACTATGAACCGTCACAAATATAAAAGCCTGCATGTTAAGAAAAGACACAATGATTCAGCTACGTAAAGGTAATTATGGAACAAAAAAAACCCAAACCCAAAAGGGAAATGCGAGCGGCATCTTTGTGGTAATTCGCCGAAGAGTTTGTAAACTACATCCCTGGAAAGTGACAACCAGAGATCGTGTGTTGATACACATGTGCATCAACTGATCACACATTATGCATGACTCCCATCGCAATGGTGACTACACCCGAAAAAGAGTCAAATACTTACAACGTTCAAAAACTGCTACGCAGCAGCTTTTCTAGCCATGTTACTTCCTGTGCTATTTGCCAAAAAATGAACAGATTCTAGGCTCCCATGCGTGTAAACTGAAAAATGCACGTGTGCTTGTAGGCTATATGTGGAAAAACACACTGGATGGCGAGTAACTACAGTGCCTTGTTACAGCATCATGAGTGATATAAACAAACAGAGCCGAGGGCTCTACAGCCAGGGAAACAAAGCCTTCCAATGTGGCCGACCTGACATTAACACAGCGCGCTGCCAAAACGGGGGGGCAGCTGTCACAGCAAAGCATCTTGGTTCATTCGAGCAGAGAACCAAGTGAAAAATGTCAGAGAGGGACAGAAAGTCCTTCGCTGGCCACGTAGAAATAAACATGACAATCACTGTGGGGACTGAAAGCTTGAATGGATCCTATCCTGCACATTGTGCAGTGCCGAGTACTGTCACAGGAAGTCGGCTGGATTCTTTAACGGTTCAAAACAGGAAGAGTGGGCTGCTCTTTGAATAGCAATACAACTTTCACGGATGGTTTCAAAAGCAAAAATAGTGTCAATTTATCAGTCAAATAAGACGCAAGCAACTAACAACACAATACCACTATTGTGCTACAGACTCCAGCCTCGATCCGACCAAATACTGTGGAATACTGGTCAAAACTAGCCGGGGACTGAACGGATGATGGTAGCAGTAAGTAACTCTGCCTTTCCGCATATTTTGTCACTTTGCTCCTTTGTTTCCTGACTTGCCACAACAATGGTCGACGTACCCTAAGAAAAGGAGAATAAACCGCAGAGACAGAAAAACAACTTATTTAGACTAATTACGAGTTTGAAAGGGCCATGAGTGAACATGTTCATTTGGTCTATTTATAAAACATCCGTAGTGAACTGCATGATTCTGTGAACCACCAATGTGCGCCCTGTGAATCCTTGAACATATCTGCTACTTTCCCAATAGGAACATAACAGCAAATGTCCAGTGACTCTGATCTAGTGACAAAAAATAAAACCGATGACATCCAATAAAGCCAATTCGAATGTGAACATGGATTGAGTGAGAAAAAACAACAAACTTTAGTCACATGAACAAAGTTTTGTTGACAACTAAGGACAGGTTTGACCCGACGCTGGACGACCTATGATGTCAATGGGCACTATGAAAGCGTTTACAGATGGGTCACTCACCACAGTAGTAGGTCTGTATGCCCCACCAGTATGTTCAGTCGGGGCCTTGTACCATGGGCTCAGAACCTGCAGCAGCGTGGGAAAGGAGAAGCAGTTAGGGGCTTTTCGAACTACATTACGTTCGAGACAAGGAAAGTATTATGGTGAACGCTTTGGCATTCGCTTTACGTTGCGCACAAACTCAAATGTCACATGGTAACGTTAACATTAAAAGGATGATTTGACCGACGCAGCACAGGTCAGGCCGCGATGCCAAAAACATGCTTTGTCATGAGAGACCTTGGATGGAAACACAATTGCATTACTCCCTGAGAAGATTTTCATGCATATGCGACAAATACTAAAAACCAGGAGACCTTCTCACTGTCTGCATCTACTTTGGTAAAAAATAATCTGGGACTAATGCTGTGAATATTCCGACAAAGTGACTGTGACACGATGGTTCACCTCTTAAGGACAGAGGGAGACGGCACATCATTAGAACATGTCCACTGCAAACACTCACAGCAAATCGCCCCCATGAAATAAACACAAAGCAACCCTGTTGTCAACACTAACGTTGTGTTCCGTGTTTACCATTAAGGCTGCAGAATGAGGTGGTGAAAGAAGGTTGCTGGATTGCGTAATTCTAAGAAGTGGCCGGGAAATGGCTGAATATTTCTCAGCTGCTTGTCTTGCCTCACTGCTTCCTTCCCTATACTCCCTGACCTTGACTCCTTTCCATTTTAGTCATCCTTTGTCCGGCATCTGCTGCCCCGCTCTATTGTGTTGGTGAGGCTGTGTGGCAGAGCAAAGCGAGCGATAGTGTTACCACGAAGAAAGCACCGGCAGTTGGGTGCGGCCAGAGAAACGCTGAAAGGGTTGTGGGTTGCCAAGGGCTCGCCAGAGGACACGGCCCGGGCATAACGGGAATGAAGTGTGTAAGCAGGAAGTCACGTCTTTGTCCCAGCGTGAAACAGGGGACATGTTTTAAAGAGGAGGGATCTACGTGACGCTTACGCATTTACCTCCAATAACCTGGATATGGTCACACACGAGGCTATTTGCAGTTCACGGTGACATGGTCGTCGGTGCACCATGTCGGGGCAGAACTCCAACGAGGTATCGACCTGCTCTACAGTGACGGTAAACTTAAATTACTTCTGTAGTTGGCGCTATAAAGAAAAAGACAATTTGACCGTATAGGAGGGTTGGGGCGTCCCCCTAATAAAACAATCCCGCCCTCCTCACACGTAGTCTTTGAGACGCTCCCTCTGACTCGTGAGGGTTCAGTTCTGTCCCAAGACCTGAAGCAAAGTCCAAGCAAGAATCGGTTTTAAAAAGACTCAAACTGGTGATTCTCAACAGAGAGAGAAGGTAATTGGTATAACTACTCAGCTCATATATATATATATATATATATATATATATATATATATGTTATATTGTATATATAATGTATATCATTATTATTAAATAAATAAATATAAATATTTATTTATTATTATTAATGTAAGTATGTATATGTATATAAATAAATATACGCACATGTTATAGGTATGTTTGCAGGGATATGTATGTGGTGTATGTTTGTTTCTGTGATTGGATATTTGTGTAGTGTATGCGTGGTAAGTAGGTGTATTATGTAGTATTCTGTGTGGGTACAGACTGAAGAGCAGTTGAAAAGGGGTGAGACATCAAATAAGTGTCATGCTTTTTCCCCACTCCTTTTTTTTCTGTTGTGTCTTAGCCCTTTGTTGTTCTATTTTTTTTTTTTTATAATTTGTATTTTCTTTGTGTGTACAAGTAGTAACATTTTTTTTCTCTCCCTTTTATACATGTTCGAAAAAATAAATTCAAAATTCAATTGTCAGGTCGTCCAGTGTTTGAGGGCTCCGTCGCAGACGGATCCTGTATGAACGCTTAAAGAATTAGCCCATGTGTTCAGCCATTTTAAATTAAATTAATTTTGACAAAAACAAGTAAATATACGATTTGAAATGAAGACCTTGATATCGGGGTAAAACATATCAACCTGCTCGGTTTACAGTGTCTTTAAGTGTGTGAGTTATGTTTAAGCTTTTGCTGTCCTTAAAGTTTTAGTGTCGATGACATTTGACCTTTTTGGGACAGCGGTGAAATAAAAAGTCTGTAGTCTTGTATAGCAGCCAATAAGGAATCCCTATTGGAGCACAACAATACGCAATTGGAGCCTTGATCTAGTTAGCCGATCCGGTAAGGGAATGGTGATATTGGCACTGCCAGCTTTGTGGTTTGCTGCATCTGCAGAAAAGGGTGAAAAGTGTTTCGCAGGGGCGCATGCCCACAAACACTCATAAGGGTCCACATATCAGCCCAAAAACATCTGTGGGAAACAATGGATTCCTTTTGTATCCCCTAATGTTTTATTTACCCTGTAATCCCCAAAAACCTGCCGGCGAGATTGAAAAAGCATGTAATCTTTAAACGATAGCCCAAAGTACACCGTCTATCGTAGCCTGAATCATTAAAGACCTGTATCACCATCAGCATACTTTGATCTTACCTCTATTCACAACATGTAAAATCTACACTTCTGTTGGAAGAAAGAAAGCAAAACAAAGGCACTCATTGTGAGATTTCTTCCAAAACATTTGTCTCTTTAAATTGAGATCCTAGTGTATCTAGGAGTGGCTAATTTAGAGTTTTAAAAAATATAAATAGCTCAATACACATGGAGACATGACAACAACATTCGTAACATCAAAAATGCATTCTATTGTTGAATGGAAATACAAACCTACATTTTTCACATATCACAAAGTACGTTATTGAGCCGTTTCCATTGATGCGGGTGCAAAGCTTTTATACCGGAGAGAAGAATCGACGTCAAGGATCACGACAATCATAAGCAATGTTACAAGAATCTATAACGTCACACGCATCACTGCGCCCTGGTTTATATGGGCAGCTTATGGACCACAGGCCATTTTCTCCACAACAACAACAACAACAAAGCCACATCGTAAACACAGGTCCTATCACTCTTTTAATACCGGCCAGTCCAGAGCCGCACAGGGCGAGCTCCACCAAAGCACAGCGCAGATCCAACCCCGTTGCTCAGATAAACACATCGCCGTGTGATGTAGCACTGAGCCCCCGCTACATCACGCAAACATCCTGGGACATTCAGCTGGAGTTAAATACCCCCGGCTTTCTCCTGAGATATACAGGCAGCCCCTCATCAGAGTGGAGGATTCCTGTCTAGTCAAACACTACATGGAGGTCACGGGGCAGTCACACAATGGGCTGTAGGTATTCTTAATGTAGGCTGCAACACTATGGATACAATCATAGTGCAGCATGAAGCTTTAGCTCATATATATATATATATATATATATATATAAAATCAATGTGTCTCGTGGATACAATCATAGTGCAGCATGTAGCTTTACATGACCATTTAGACAGAGAATAAGCAGACAATAGGCAGTGAGTTCTCCAATTGTGAAATGCCTTACTCCTCTTTGGCGACACACACACACACACACACACACACACAAACACACAAAATTGGTCAATACTACTCTACTACATCAAACTGAAACCACAACGCTACGGATTGCTGCTAAATCTGTTTAGAGACAGTAAGTTGATCACAAGACAGAAATAGAGGCCACTGCAATTACTAACTGATCAATACCGTAGTACTCATATTTGGATACCATTAACACTTTTGTATAATGCGTGAGGTATTCACACAAAATATATCTTATATATTATTACATTTATTTAGCACTTAAAATAACTGCATTCAACCATGCGAGTGCACTGGCCTGCAGGTCTGTAAACTTCAAAGCCTTGTGGGTAAAGAGGGGGAGGGACACCTCAGACACATTCTCCACAATGTTGAACTTGACCCTTGGGGTCGCAAAACAACACACACACACACACACGCGCGCACACGCACACCTGTCTATGCAGTATGTGGGTGGGTGAGCTGCAGATTTTTATCAAATCCTTCAAAACTGTTTGAGCACTTTAATCTTTAACAGAACAGTAAAGAACCACAGGATAAGCTCAAAAATGCATCTTTGCACACATATGATATTAACATACCACATCATTGTTTACAACATGACCACTTTAGACATTTTAGTTTTCAGTGTTTCACCAACCATTCAATGCACTAGTTGGATAGTTGTTGACGCTCATAACCAAAAAAGCAGCAGACAACGAGTCCCACCTACAGAGTATTCACCTGACCAGGTAGAGCAGAGGACAGAAAAACTACTCAGCATGGAATAGTCAAAATAAAAATAGTTGGATATTTTTGCCAGGAAAATGGATAAATAAAATCAAATAATCAACATAAAGTTGCATTGCTAAGCCGACTGTTGTCACAGCACATACTAAAATTCAACAATGTTGTTCTCTGCAGCACTATTTAAGTTAGTCTTATGAACTGCTAAGCTCATCGAGTGTGATTTATGTAAAGTCCTCCCAGGACCGCACAGGATTTTTAACCAGAATCATTTTTAGGGTGTCTGTGGACAGAGCTTACCCCTCTTTACACATGAACAGCATCCAGAGCTGTTCCACATTTGCCATTACCTCACAAAGACACACTTCCTCCACTCACTGCACTTGTGTTCCATTTTGTCTTTCCCTTTTCAATTCACAACACGGACGAGCAGCGGTTACATAAGCGTACAACTCCACCACTCGTCCTCTGTGATTTAATAAGGCCAGCTAATCAATGTGTCCCGTGTAGATAACATGACTCAGCTGCCTGCTCTGTAACTAACCATATGCCCGAGTCCTGGGCTCAATGCTGTGCTGTGGGAAACAAAACCAGAACATCCAGACTACTATAAATGTTCAACTGATCAGATTTCTAAAGACCCATCTGCTCACAGCTTATCTGCAGTAGAGATTTGATGTCCACGTATTGCTCTCTCCTCGGTCTGGAATTACCACAATGAGGCAGCAAACGAAACAGGCAACTACGCACAGAAAAGAGACAACAGATTACTCTCACTGCTCCTTTCAAATTGTGGTGTCAAGTACAGTCTGGCAGGAACCGTTACTGCTGTTCAGTCGGGGGATGTTCCATAGACATGCATCTTTGCTTCCATACTCTCCATAGACATGCATCTTTGCTTCCACACTCTCCATAGACATGCATCTTTGCTTCCACACTCTCCATAGACATGCATCTTTGCTTCCACACTCTCCATAGACATGCATCTTTGCTTCCACACTCTCCATAGACATGCATCTTTGCTTCCACACTCTCCATAGACATGCATCTTTGCTTCCACACTCTCCATAGACATGCATCTTTGCTTCCACACTCTCCATAGACATGCATCTTTGCTTCCACACTCTCCATAGACATGCATCTTTGCTTCCACACTCTCCATAGACATGCATCTTTGCTTCCACACTCCATAGACATGCATCTTTGCTTCCACACTCATAGACATGCATCTTTGCTTCCACACTCTTTAGTTGTGCATCAACTGGGGAAATGGTCAATGACAGACATTTAAAGTATATTTCACAGTTTATTACTACAAACTTGATTAATCAGTAATAGATTCATTCATTTTATGATTTTTACTTTCAATAACAAAGATAAACCAAACATTAGCAGAAAGAAATGTGTGTTTATAACAAAAGATCTGCTAAATAAACAAGAATTATTATTTTTAAACCATGTTGTGGGTGGCAATGAGTGACATTTACATGGACCTTTTGTAATACTATCTTCAACTCTACTGTTTCTAGCAATCTCGGATCAAGATGAAAACAAATGAGCTCACAAAAGGTTGAAGAAGAAATCACAATGTTTCCAGTTATTGCTTTCTTTATCCTTTACGATTTGACATCTGCATGGCTCACATATAATCTATATTTTAATTTAAAAAATAATGCTTGAATGATATTGCTTCCCCTTTGAAATCCTGATAGTTTCGAGCTCGCATTCTTGGCCATCAGAAACAGGAAAGGTGCTAGGAAGGCATTAATAGTTTCTGAAGCATCTAAAAAAGTAGATGTAGGTGCGTTCCTAATGAAAACAGGATATGGTGTTTACATTCATGTCATTGTAAACACACTGGCATAACAAAAGGAAGTCTGTGAGCGTTCCATGAGGGAAGTCTACTTTACTTCAGTCGCTGAAGGACCACTGAGCAGACAAGTAGAGTTCGGCAATGAGATGTTTATCTGGTTTTCTCCTCTCGGCCTGGGAGCATCACCAAAGAGCGTACAAAAAAAGTCAGTGATCCTAATCCAATAAACTAATTCCGTTTCGGCTTTCGTCATACGGTAAAAAAGAAATGCAAATGTATTTGATGTATTCAACAAGTTCAACAGGCTGAGCTCAAGTCAACGACGCCCATCAAGCCGCAAATAGTACGCTTTACATTAGTAGAAAAAGAAAATACAATGCTTAAAAAATATTACTATTGTCGGGCCCTTCATAATTCAGTATTATTCCAAATCTACTACAAGTGGCCAATAAAGAAAATGGATTAGTGGCCGTGGGTTAAGAGCTTGTTCAATATATCAAATATTGGATTCTGCACTCTTATTATATAAGGACACTTTCTCATCCCTAATTATTTACAAAACCTAGTTTAAGTAGTAACTGAAACATTCAATTGAAGACAAAAGAAGCTATATGCTCAAGAAATGAATATGTGGAACTGAATCAAGTTACTAGTTACAAGTAACTAATATCCTAACGCAAATTAGCTTGTGAATTGTGACTGGGGAGAGTTTGTGTTACCAGTCTCATCCCCACTACCACAGAAAGCTTATCTGGGACTGGTACATTGTGTCATTGAGTGGAGCTTCACAAGGTTGGCAAGTGGCCCTCCTGGGTGTGTGTGCGAGTGTGTGTGCGTGTGTTCACCCCTCCCCCACACCGCCCACAGCTTCAACAACCAGCTGCAAAGCACTGTAGAAAGCTTTGAATAAGATTGACACAAAAGGTAATACAATAATATAATAAACACTGCACCGTGGCACAAATATGAATGCACGCTATGCTGCGTAAAAGAAAGGTGAAAAGGCAACATAATCTACACCGTGGGGAGAACTATGGGTCTGCAGAGCAATACAGCTAAAACCGGTGAGTACAGCTATGGGATAAAATGCTAACATTGCTACAACCAGAGCTTCAGTTTAGATGCATAGCTGTTGTGGTGTTTTGTTTGTTTTTTTATAAACACGAACTTATGTAACACTAAAAATGATTCAGCGCTTCCCACATAGCTTTATTAAAATACAAAGTAAAAGCACGAGTCCATCGTTGCAAAGTCTAATAGAACAACATTTAAGATAGTTTGTAAAAAAAAAAAAAGGAGAAAAAAAGTTGGATCCCTGAGAAAAACTAATTATCTATCACGGGTGATTCCAAAAGCACGAATATATGATACATTATATGTTATAGTTAAAATCAGAACTCAGTAAAGTGGTAAAACATTCAAAGCTAGCAGCAGGAAGGAAGGGCGCGCTCACATTCAGACCCACCACGAGAACAGCCCCACGCGCACGGTGCGCGCGCCTACTCACGCGCTGAGGCTGCCCATCCCCCACCCGAGCGAAAAATATAAATAAACCCTCAAAACGTTGCAATAAACCGCCCAAACCTCGGACATACAGATGTATGCGTATACGCTACCGTTGGGCACTATTTATATGGCCAATTCTAACGTAAAATGAGGACAAACACTCACCTAAAGCTGCAGTTCACTCAGGGGGGGTGCCTTCTCCTCTGTCTCTAGTGAGGAATCTCCTCCTCCACCGTTGTTTTCTAGCTCTAATTAAACCTAAAAAAAAGCGTTATAACGGCCTTCGGACCCGGCCAACCGGTGCTAGCAATCCCCAATGACCGATGTGTTTTGGATACACGGGCTCATATGATGATAAATCCCCTTAAAACGAGCTGGAAGGACAGTTGGGTCTAGATTGTAGGTTTGCTCGCTGGTAGAGAAAAGAGCCAAACGGTTCAGTAGCAGCCAACGGCTCCAGTCTGAAACACAGCGGCTGACCTGCCAGGCGAAAATGAGGCAGGCCCGCGCGCCCCGCTGCAGGAAGCACGCGCCAGTCGCACAGACATCAAAATGGGTGTCGCAGTAAGGATGATGTAGTCGGGTTAAGGTTCGCGGTAACACTTCAAAAATGAATGTACATTTTTTTCCAAGACTATTATCATTATTTTAATGATAAATACTTATGATAAATGCTACATTGCTATTTTTGGATTCGAGCTGTGGGCATGCTAGTTTTGTTACTACTGTAATCTACAGTAAAGCTAAGGTGTAGCTTTGTTTACAGTTTTATTTACGATTTTTTTTAAGTGTTACACCAAAAAGGTGTTATGTAACTGTGTATGTTTTGATCGACATATTTGAATAAATATAAATACTTTTTAAATTAAAAACCAATGGTTTGGGAGGTTTCAAAAGGCGCAGTGTCTTATTTCATAAGTGGGCGTGGTCATGACGTGTACCCCACGTGTTCGAGCAAACTCAATGCTTGTTTTAACAATGAAAATATCTTTTGATTAACAAAATTTAACGTCAGAAGTGTCTATTTTGTAATTACATACACGGGTGTAACAGCTTGTAAGTGAGCCACAACCAAACAAAAATGTATTTTGTATATATGTATTTTTGGTAGCTATTAGTATTAATTAAATGATGAATAAAATACCGAGAGAAGTCAGTCAGTCAGTCATCTTCTATATGCTCATCCTCAGAGGGTACAATACAGTGAAACTGATCATGATTTGCTTGTCATGCAGTTTTCAGTAAAAATGTATAAAAAATACTACATAGCAATTAATCAATTTACCATAATACAGCTGATTTTAGTCATTCCAATGCAATTTTACGGAATTGAGACAGAATGAGACAGAGTGGGAGCCTTTGTCGTACTGATGCTTAACACATACAGATGCATATGCTGCAGACATAACACAATGAAGGCTATCTATGCAGTAAGTGCACGTGTGCATTAACTGCATGCATTCAATCTGCAACATGCACACACACATATGGTTCATCTGAGATAAACAGACACACATGCACAGAAGGCTCTCAAGTGGTGTGTAGAGTGCACTTTGTGGCTGTAACAAATGGAGCATGTGGCTTTACAGGGTGGAGGGGGCGGGGGGGGCATCAGTGTTTTCCCCCATTAGGTGCTTTCCAATAACCAAGCAGGCTTGTAGTACAAGAGGGCCCACACAGTGTTGATAGTGGCACAATTGTTTTACCTTGTTTTTATTTGCACACTTGTTTTTCCTGTATCTGTTTTGCTTCCGAGGAATGGCAGCCATCCCAACAGTCAAGTTATTTGACTTCTTTTGTATCGTATCCCTGCTGACTGGAGGAAGCGAAAGCAGAAACAGCACCAGTGTGGTAAACTGTGAAGTGAAACACCTCGGGGGCCAAGTGGTCCACTGTCTGGGTAATGACTTTCTGGAAAACCACAACACGCCATCTATATGCAGCACCCAGACCCAGTGTTTTCTTCCTCTGTGATCACTCTGCAGCAGCAACACACCACCTCCACTACCGATGACTTTCTACTTTGACACAGTATCATGTGGAATATATTGTTTTTAATACTATAATTTAGGACTTGGATTACGCTTGGGTTAATGTGCATAGAAGCACAACGTTTGCAAACTATTAGCACTCCTTTATTTGCACACACATGATGATAAAAGATAATTTGATTTTTATGCAACAACAACATTAGGAACTCCATTAAGTGAAATAAAATACTTCTTATTTTACCTGCACTGTAAAGACACACAACCTATTTAACCACGTCTCTCTGCTTTTGCTTCAATTTTATGATGCAAAGTTGAGTCATAATTTTTTCTCTACTGGTAGACTATTTATTGTGAAGCCATTTAAATTCATGGAAAATATGTAATATATATATATATATATATTACATATTTTCCATATATATATATATATATATATATATATTTTTGGAATTAAAGGCTTTCTCGCAAGAATTAGAATCAAAGACCGAGACAACGCTACACGGCAAATATGAAGCTGGATCAAGCACGAATAGCTTAAAACAATATGATATGATTAAACAGGTAGAATATAAAGAAATGGAAATACTGATGGGAAGTACCTCTATATTGTACTTCATAGCAGTTCTTCAAGGATCATGCATTTTTTACAGCGCCTGTGTTGACATGTAACAGTAGAAACAGCACAGGTGGGTTTAAATGATAAATTAAATGATCGTTGATTGCAATTTAGCTGCTTTAGTTTAATTTTTTCAATTTCGTTTTACTTGGAAAATAATGCTTGCAGCTGTGCTATAAACAGCTGCAATCAACTTAAAGCAAAACATTACATACCAAGACAAGGACGACAACACAACGCAAAGTCAAAGAGCAAAACCTACAAACACCTTGTCATTATGAAAAATGAGGAAAGAAATCAAGAAACCATCAAACCCATCCTCCATGCTAATGAATGAAACTAAATCCAACGGATGTAACCTTTGACTTGTTTGATTCATTTTGGCATGCATATATACATACATATCCCTACATATATATACATACACACATGCATACTTCACTCACCGAGGCAGTTGTGGATCCCTTTTGGATCAGAATGTGAACCACTGCAACCACGAGAGGCGTAGGTGAATATGAATGTGATGTGTCCCGTAGGATGCGAGATGGGCTGTGGACGGACACAGAGATGCACACACTCACAGTCCCTCACACTATGGACCGAATACATTTGTTGACACCTGGTTGGATCGTTTACAGAATGTAAGCGCTAACCGAGCCCTGTACTTTATAATAGAGACACGCACACTTCATTTGGCTGCTTTCTTCAATCACTGCACATACAACAATAATAGCCTGCGGCCTTTAAAGCCCGTGGCAGCTTTACACCATATCCACTTCACAGGACATATAATACTTCACTCCATCTCTGGGATATTTAGTGTTTTGACAATGACAAGGTCCCAACAAAACAGAGCTCCATAATATGTCTTCATAAGCCTTACAGTAATGGCTGTTCTCTACCTACAGAGCAATAATTCATCTTCCATGGTCGCCACTCGAATAGCATGGTTGGCTGTTGACGTTAAGTGATTAGATTATTTAGCACGGTATGCAGACAGAGACAAACAGATACCGCATGAATGTGCATGTGGGCTTTTAAGTCGACGTTCAAGTGGGGAGAAGAAAGAGACGAGGAAATGAGTCAAGTCTTCTTTATGCACGTGTGTGTGCTTGCGGGTGTGCAAAGGAGGAAGAGGATAAGGGTGCTCTGCCTCATCAGGGAGAGTCGGTTTAATATCCTCATCGATCCCAGCTCACCTCGTTACACATTAACATTTACGACTAGGAAACACGGTTCAGACACACAGATGGAGACTCCCGGGTGAGAGGTAGACAGAAAGATACAGGAGCGCTCTCTAGGAGAGGAGGGCAAAACACCAATAACAAATCCCACAGTGTGTAAACAAACCCGAGTAATAAAGCCTACCGAGTGGCATCGGTGGTCACCATGAATGCTTAATAAGAAGCCCCAATAATTCCCTACGACAGAGAAGAAAGATACTAAAATCATGAGGATAAAATAACCAGATCCTTGCTGAGTCAAGCCGTAGATGGTGGAAAGTTTATACATTATTTCGAGGTGCTTTACTCTATTTCTTCTTTATATTTACGCTACATCTCAGCAGGAAAAATACTTAAAATAATATTCACAGTCAATATACATCCAAAAGTGTACCAGCAACAAGCTGTTCAATTACAGGATATTTTTGGTAGCTATTAGTATTAATTAAATGATGAATAAAAAACCGAGAGAAGTCAGTCAGTCAGTCATCTTCTATATGCTCACCCTCAGAGGGTCGCAGGGGGGCTGGAGCTAATGTGAGACGGGGTAAACCCTGGACTGGTCGCCATTCAATGGCATTCACACACCTACGGGCCATCTAGAGTCACCAACGAACCTGAAGCGGTGGGGATTCCTCCCGGGGCGGCTCACAGTCTCTGCAGCACCGAACGTGACCTGAGAGGACACGGAGAACCCGCTGCTGCTCGCTGCTGATCAGGTGGTCAACATTTCATCCTCTCAGATCTTTCCTCCCCCTGTGGAGGCTGAACGTGTTGACCTCTGGACCCAACATTTACTTTTCACAAGAGTCCCCTGTGTCGGGTTAGTACTTCCGCTCAGAGCCGTAGCACAAGTTTTGTGAATTATACGACAAGACTGTAAAGATGGCGCCCGCCCACCGTAATGCTAACGAGGGCCACGGTGCTCTGAAAGGTCGGCGACCTTGGGTTTCAAAGTTCAGTTTGTTTGAACCCTCGCTCACGTATCAAGTGCTCCTCTTGGAGCTCACAAAATAAGGGGCCCATAAAACCGTGTCTTTGTAAAACACTATTTAAAGCACTCCCATGAGTTTTCTCAACAGCACTAGTTATGTTAGTGCCATTTACGTGCTTTGATCGTTTGAAGAGATCTTCAAAGCACAAAAGAAAACGCTGTCACAGGGTTGTAGATCTGTATTGTTGCTCCTGACATTCACACTTATACAATAACCCTTTTTTAATGTATATCCCATGTACATATATACTGTAGCGGTTCCTGTATGACAGGAATGGGACTGTGTACCTCTGTGTGTCAGAGGTTATCCAATCACACTGTTCAGGTCAATGCACTCAGGGTTTTTACCAGGACAGCCTTACTTGGTCCGGTTGAACCAGTATGTTTCATAATGAGAATTTATGGGGAACCGGTTTTTGGGCTCCAGGGAATTTAATTTTGAAATGAAAAATGTATATATATATATATATATATATATTTTCTAACTGGTAAAATGCAGATGTCGATATTGTCATTACAGGAACAATTAATCCGCTGCACTTAAAGCAACCGTGAATGATTCATGTACCGAGGAGATCACGGCTCTTTTAGCAGCATGAAATAATTTTCAAAGCAAGTTGAACTTCGACTTCCAGGCGTGTTTTACCACAATAAATGATGAACTCAATACTTACTGGGATATTCATGACA